CCTCACCCAAATATATTTTTCCATTGATTTTTTTTTTTTTTTTTAAATATAATGGAAGGGAAGAAGGAAGAGAGAGAAACACTGATGTGAGAGAGACACATTGATTGGTTGACTCCCACACGACCCTGATCAGGGCTGGAATCAAAACTGCAACTGAGGTATGTGTCCTTGATTGGGAATTCGAACCTGTGACTCTTTGGTCCACAAGCCGATGCCCTAACCACTGAGAAAACCACCCAGGGTGACAATAAAAATAAATTTTAAAAAATCCAAGTCATAAGAGAAATGCAGATGACTGATAAAGAAAAAGTGCTCCATCTCAGAAGTAATTAAAAAATGCAATTTAACCCTCTTCAGCTCTGTATGATATGATTTATTACATGTATTTATGAACTTACACATCTGTCTTCCCTGCCAGTCTGAGCAATTCAGCACAGGATCTGTTTTGATTTTTTTTTGAATGACTACCCTTTCCCAATGCCAGTCACACAATTGGATGGACCAAAGGATGTAGAAATGGATGCAATAATTTTTGAAGATTCATATATCTTATTTAATTTTCCAGTGCTGGTTATAGATAAGGAATGCAGGTTGAGCCTGTTTCTTGTTCTGTTTTTAGCTTCTATAGTCATGAGTGTATTCTACGTTCACAAGAAGATTTTTGAGTTAAGGGGTTTGAATAACATTTATATTGTGCATGATTTTCAACACACTTTAAAACAAATATGCTAGTAATTTCTGAAAATCCTTTCAGGTTGCAATTTAAATCTAGTTCTCTAGATTCTCTGAGAGACCGTGGGAGGTACCCAGCTATTAAGAGTAAGGGAAAGGAAGCCTATTGATCAGGCTTTATTTATGTGTGATGTGGGGGATGGAGCAATGATGAGAGAAAATAAACTGCTAACAGGAACAAAAAAGAATACAAGGCTGGGGTAGGAGGAATATATGTTTGCTGTATATAATAATAAAATCATTATCTGTAACCTTGTATTAGAATATATGTTCCAAGAAGACAGACTGTGGTTGCAGACACTGGAATATTGGCTGGTACATAAAGAGGCAATAGCTTTTTCTGAAAGAATAAAGGTCCACATTCAGCTTTGTGTCCTCTTTATTTATTTTTTCATTTTACATCATGGGTGGTTTTACATCACTTTCACAACCATCATTATAAGTAGCAAAGTATTCCATTGTATGCCACATACTTTACATAATCAGTCCTCTAATATCAGTTGCTTGTTTTTGCTGTTATACATAATTCTACATGACTATGTTCCTACTTACCATCTTTTCAGTGCTCATGATTCTTTTGTTAGGACAAATTCCTAGAAACGGCCTTACTGAATCAGTAGACATGAACATATATTTTGGCTCCTGATACAAATTTCCCAGTATACTTTATTTAATAGCAAATACATAATTAACGTCAGTTATTTCCACTGGTATATGAACTACCCTATGTTTTCATAGCCAGGAAGTCTTGCTGTCTTGTAAAAGTGATTTGTAGATATTTTATTCATTTGAAGATTTACATTGGAAGTCTGAATCCTCATAAATTATACATAAATAGAAGTAGAAAAAGGCAATGTATTTTGAGTCAAAGAAAATTGACAGCAAGGGTAATATATTATTTTCTCACATAATACAGAGAAAAGAGTAGGAAGATAATTACTGGTATTAATTCCTGAAGTATTTAAACATGCCAATTAAGTAGAAAACAAGGAAATGTCTTGGCAGATGTTGTAGATAGGCATGTTATGTTCTTCCCTCTTTCCCTTGCCTTTTTTGGGGGGTGGAGGTAGAAGGGCTTTGGTTTTTAATGCATTCATTCCAGAATTCATAAGCATTTTCTAACTATATATATCTTTTTAACTTTATTTATCATAGGAGAAACTGTTCAAGTGTTGGTGTCAGTTTATGTTTGTAGCCTGGAATGTTTGTAAGAACAATTAAGTGCCACCATATTTATATTTATGCACTCCTTTAAAATTGCACTGTCTTGTCAAATGTCAGTAAAAGCTTAGTCTAGGATCTGCCAGTCCTTGCACCTTAACTTCTCCCCATCTGAAAGCACGTTATTGAAGCCTTTCTCGCAGGAGCTGGTCTTCAGCATTCCCTGCTCTTGACTCAGAGGTTCCAGACCTCATATGTAAATGTATTCCTGTAGAGTACCTGTGGGGTGCTGTGTATGCACCTGTCCCCTGCTTTGTTTGTCATATTGGTTTGGGGAATGGATATCCTGGATTCCCTGCCAAGTTCTAAATTACTAATGACTTCCTGTAAATTTTAGCTAACTCCTTATTTTCTAATAAGTTACTGTCTCTGCTTACAATATGTTGATTAGGTTATGTGAGTGGCTTCCTGTGTAGCATAGTGTTGGTTCTCTAATTTTTTTTTCTTTATTCATTTTAGAGAGAGAAGAAGTGAGAGGGAGAGAGAGATAGAAACATCAATGAAAGAGAACATTGATTGACCGCCTCCTGCATGCCCCCCACTAGGGATTTGGCCCACAATCTGGGCATGTGCCCTGACCGGGAATCGAACCAGCAACCTCTTGGTGCATGAGTCGATGCTCAATCACTGAGCCACACCAGCTGGGCTGGTTCTCTAATTTTATACAGGTCTAATCATTGAAAAATAATCATGGCCCTGGGATTGGAAAAGATAAACAGTTCATATTCAAAGAACATGGTTGCTATTGAACATTTTTACATTATCAAATAAACAACAAAAGTTGATAAATATAAAATTGATAAATTTACAAAATCTCTTTTGGTGAGAGACTGTAATCTTCTACCTTGCTGTATAAAGGATACAAAAAAATCAGTAAGGATAAAGTAGATTTAAACAGCACGGTTAACAAGCTTGATCTTACAGTCAGCCATGTATACAATATTGTAATAACCATGTTGAATACTTTTTTCCCCTCAAGTACTCATAGAAAAGTTACACACACACACACACACACACACACATTTTGGAATATATTTTGTATATAAAATATATAAAATGCAATTATAAGAAAATGTCTCAATGGGTAAGTTTTCCAAATGTAACCACTTGACACCAAACAAAGAAGGATGTGTCATGGGGGTCTACTCCAGAGTTCTTGACCACATTGCCTGACTATCTTCAAAGCTTAAGGTTCTACACACTGAATTGAGAAATGTTCTCTTCTTCCATATTTTGGTTCTGGATCTATTTTTATTTATTTATTTTAATTATTTTAAATTGATTTTTAGAGAGAGAGGAAGGGAGAGGGAGAGAGAGAAACCTCCATGTGAGAACTATCTATCCGCTGCTTCCTGCATGTCCCCTTCAGGGGATGGAGCCAGCAACCTGGGCACCCTGACCAGGAATTAAACTAGCAACCCTTTGGTGCATGGGACAGTGCCCAGCCAACTGAGCCACGCCTGCCAGGGCTGGATCTATTTTTATTTTTACTCCTATTTTAGCTCTACTTTCTCTCAGACCATCTTCTATAAAATGACAAAAGATTGCCCTGGCCGGTTTGGCTCAGCGGTTAGAGCATCGACCTGTGGTCCGGAGAGACCCGGGTTCGGTTCCCGCTAAGGGCATGTACCTGGGTTGCAGTTTGTCCCTGGCCCTGGTTGGTCGTGCGGGTGGCAGCCACTCGATGTGTCCCTTTCACGTCGATGTTTCTCTTTCTCTCTCTCTTCCTCTCCCTCCCACTCTATCTGTACAAAAAATGGAAAAGTGTCCTCGGGTGAGGATTAAAAAAAAAAAATGACAAAAGATTCTTTGCTAACTCCTTTCTACAAGTCTAAAATGGAAATTAAGCTGTTTTCTCATACTAATTGAATCATTCTCTTTCCTCTGGCATATAACTCTAATTTAAAAAGATCAAACTGTGTCTGGATGTAGTTTCTTTAGTAATTGAAATGCCATGGATTTAATGTACACGCACTGTGATATAACTGCATTGACGAGGAAGTCATCACAATTATTTGTTTAATTTTTATTACACTTTTCCTCAGTTTTATGTGTTTCCCAAGCTTTCTGAATAAAGTTTATAAAATAAATTTAAATAGTTCCATGAAAATGCTAAATTATTTGTTTCATTTTTAAATAATATAAACAACATAAAAAATTTGTACTTTTATTTGGTGATTTATTTTAACAACGTTTTACTTTGTTAAATTTCACTTTTTCTTTCTCTTATATATATTTTTCTCAATGGCATTTTCTTCATGCTGTGCTGAATAACGCCTGTGGTCTCTTAGAGTTATTAATATGATTTTTTAGTATCAGCTGTGTGCCAGTCAGGTTTGTAAAATATACTAGAATGAATTGGTGTGTGGTAAAAATGAGATGCTGTTCATTAAAAGATAAGCCAAGCAAAGATGTTATTTTATGATGATGATTTGCAGAGCCAGATGCTGGTAGACTTATCCCATTCTTAGGAGACTGTACTGGGAAATTAACAGGAAAACACTCATTTTTATGATGCTTATTTTTTTCCCTTTGACAAGAACTTAAAAAAAAAAAACATGTAAAGTAATAAGCTTGAGATAATTAACTTCACTTTTATAAAATATCTAGTAAAGACTTTTCAAGAAAAGATGGTGAAATACCTTCTGTACGCAAAAATAATTTTCAGGGAAACTACTGCTTATGTGAACAAACCCTTACCATTCTCCCTAGCCATCCATAAAAATGGTGTCATATTTGAATTAATCAAATAATAGATATCAATAGCTGCATCTGTAATGTTTTACCTTAACCTAAGTGCTTATCACACATTAGTTTTGCATTGTAGTATACTATTTTTTGGAACACCTGAATACTTATTATAAGCTGTAAAGTTTATTGTTCTTTTCCTTCTTGATTCAGCCATCTGTGAGAAACAAAGGCAAAGATAAATATATCATTGAGCCACAAAATATTTATATTGCTTAATATGTCTTCTAAGAAGACACCTTTATCTGGGAAAAACCAATGCTCTTATCTCAAAGAAAATGTTTGCTACTTCCTTGCAGGTGGGGAACTCAAGGAGACTTCACTACAACCCATCCTAGGCCCGTGGTCAAAGTAAAACTCTTCACAGAGAGCACTGGAGTCCTGGCCCTTGAAGATAAAGAACTGGGAAGGGTGAGTTGCAGTCAGCTCCGTGTGTCCGAGGTCATACAATTCTAACTTCTTTTGATTCAGAGGAATTCCCCCCCAACCCAGCTTACATCTCTAATTTATTAAACATAATTGTCAATAACATAGTGTCATGATTGGCTTTGGGTGTATAGGGTACATATACGATCATAGTCACCAATTCAGTCATTCTTCTTACATATACTTCACAGGCCAACTTGTGCTTTTTGGAAAAAGGTAATTCTTATTAAAGCATTTCTGTCCATAGGTTAAGAGTATCACTCCTTTATATTTGAAGTCATCTTCTCTTTATGTTTAGTATAATGAGACTAATTACAAACGTCTCTTAAATGTATTTATCTTTTTTATCTCTCCCATTTTCCCTGGAAGAACATTTTCCTCACCCACCTTTTAACATTGAATTACTTTTTTCCTTATAGTCAATTCCTCATACTCAGAATATATTTATCCTCTAATTTGAGTATATAATCTCTTTACTTAGCTTCTTCTAGCAGGAGGTTTAAAAAAGTATCTGAGTCTCGTTCACGAAGTAGAAGTGTTCCAGTGAGTAGGCTATGAGGTCATCATCTGTAATGTGAATCTGTCTCACCCAGTCCTGAGCACTGTATTTACAGATGTTATCCATGGAATAAAACCTTCACAAATCTTACTTGAAATTTCTGGTGCTGATGGACAGCCTGTGTGATGCTAGGATTATTGTGTATACTGGAAACTTTTCCCCCAAAGTTGGGATTTCTATTCATTTTAAATCCTCCTCTTCTAAGTCCTTTGCACCTTTGTATTTTCTTTGTTGCTAAGGGTTTTATGAATCTATACTCACACTTAAATTCTAGATTTCCTCTTCTGTTTCCTTGGTGCATATATTTGTTAATACCCAACAGAGCTAAGCAATGTTCACTGTGTGCTTGTATATTTCTGCATTTATTCATTCAACCAAGATGTACAGGTAGCATAATCTAATAGAAGAGTCTTAGAGATTACACCTGGTCCGATGGATTTATGAATCAAGGTATTACATTTGAACTATCATTAAAATAACTTTACCTTATTTCCTGTTGTAACTATTTCTCACTGTTAAATAGCAGGTATTTTAAGTTCAATGCATAATAAAATTCTTTTTTTTTAATTAATTAATTTATTTTTGTTAGAGATGTTTCTCCTTTTTCCCCCACTGATTTCCCCCTCCCTCTCTCTCCCCACCCTGTCCTCAGCTTTATTGTCCATGTCCATTGTTCATGCACACATGCATATAAGTTCTGTGATTTATCTCTCCCCCACAACCCCCTATTCTGGGGATTGTCAGTCTGTACCCCACTTTCATGTCTCTGGGACTACCCCATTCCTCAGACTGTTATGTTCATTATATTCCACAAATAAGTGAGATCATAAGATACCTGTCTTTTTATATTTGGCTTGTTTCACTTAGGATAATACTTTACAGGTCCCTCCATGTCATCTCAAAGGATAAGAGATGTTTCTTTCTTACAGCTGCATAGTACTCCATTGTGTATATGTACCACAGCTGTTGTATCTATTCATTTATTGCTGGACATTTGGGCTGTAGCCAGATGTTAGCTATTGTAAATAGTGCTGCTATGAACATGGGGGTAAATATATTATTTCTTATTGGTGTTTCAGGCATCTTAACGTATATTCCTAGAAATGGGATCACTGGGTCAAATGGCAATTCAATTTTTAATTTTTTGAGGTAACACCATATTGTTTTCCATAGTGGCTGCACCACTCTGCATTCCCACCAGCAGTGTACTAAAGTCCCCTTTTCTCCACACCCTCGCCAACACTTGTTGTTTCATGATTCGTTGATGGCGGCCATTCTGACAGGTGTGAGGTTGTTGGTTTAATTTGCATCTCTCTGATGATTAGTTTTGTTGAGCATTTCTTCATATGTCTCTTAGCCATTTGTGTGTCCTGCTTGGAGAGGTGTCAATTTAGTTCTTCTGCCCATTTTTTTAATTGGGTTCTTTGTCTTCTTTTTGTTGAGTTGTATAAGCACTCTATATATATATTGGAAATTGACCCCTTACCTGATTATCATTGGCAATTATGCTCTCCGATACAGTGGGTTGCCTTTCAATTTTGATGACTGTATCTTTTGCTGTGCAGAAGATTTTGAGTTTGATGTAGTCCCATGTGTTCATTTTCTCCTGTGTTTCTTTTGCCTTAGGTGATGTATCAGTGAAAATTCTCTTGAGTATGATGCCGAAATTTTGTTGCCTACATTTTCTTCTAGGATTTTTATGGATTCATGAGTCACATTTAAGTCTTTTATCCATTTTGAGTTTATTCTACTGTATGGTGTTAAGTTGATGGTCTAGTTTCATTTTTTTTGCATGTAGCTGTCCAATTTTCCCAGCACCATTTATTAAAGAGGCTGTCTTGACTCCACTGTATGCTTTTGCCACCTTTGTCAAATATTAATTGAGTATATTGCCTTGGGTCCATTTCTGGGTTCTGGGTTCTGTTCCACTGGTCTATATGCCTGTTCTTGTGCCAGTACCAGGCTGTTTTGATTACAGTGGCTTTGTAGTATAACCTGAAATGTGGTAATGTAATCCCTCCTACTTTGTTCTTTTTTTAAGATTGCTGTAGCTATTCGAGGTCTTTTTTGGTTCCTTATGAATTTTGAAATATTCATAGTAGTCCTGTGAAGTATGTCGTTGGTATTTTGATGGTGATTGCATTGAATCTATAGATTGCTTTGGGTAGTGTGGACATTTTAATGATGTTAATTCTTCCAATCCATGAACAGGGTATGTGCTTTCAATTTTCTATATCTTTCTTTATTTATTTTTTCAATGACCCGTAGTTTTCTATGAATAGGTCCTTTATTTCTTTGGTTAAGTTTATTCCTAGGTATCTTAGTTTTTTGCTGCAATGGTAAATGGGATTGTTTTCTTTTTAGTTTCTCTTTCTGTGAGTTCATCATTGGTGTATAAGAATGTCACTGATTTCTTGATGTTAATTTTGTATCCTGGTACTTTGCCAAATTCATTTATTAAGTCTAGTAAATTTTTGATGGAGTCTTTGGGGTTTTTAACATATAGTATCATGTCATCTGCGAATAATGACAGTTTTACTTTCTCCTTTCCAATTTGGATCCCTTTTAAATTTTTCTTCCTGTCTGATGGCTGTGGCTAAGACTTCCAGTACTATGTTAAATAAGAGTAGTGAATGTGGGCATATCCCTGTCTTGTTCCTGTTCTTAAGGAAAATGCTTTTAGTTTTTGCTCATTTAGTATGATATTGGCTGTAGGTCTTTCATATATGGCCTTTATTATGTCAAGATATGATCCCTCTATTCCCACATTGCAGAGCGTTTTTATCAGAAATGGTTGCTGGATTTTTTCAAAGGCATTTTCGGCATCTATTGATATGATCATGTGGCTTTTATTTTACTTTGGGGTATCACATTTATTGATTTGCGAATATTGTACCAGTCTTGCATCCCTGGGATGAATCTCACTTGATCATGGTGAATAATTTTTTTGATGTATTACTAGATACAATTTGCTAGAATTTTGTTCAGGATTTTGGTGTCTGTTTATCAGGGATATTGGCCTGTAGTTTTCTTTCTTTGTAGTGTCTTTTTCTGCTTTTGGAATTAGAATGATGCTGGCTTCATAAAATGAGTTTGAAAGTGTTCTTTCTTCTTGAATTTTTTGAAATAGTTTGAGGAGAAGGGGTGTTAGTTCTTTTTTGAATGTTCTGTAATACTCCCCCGTGAAGCCATCTGGGCCTGGGCTTTTGTTTGCTGGGAGAGTCTTGATTACCTCTTCAATTTCCTTAGTTGGTATTGGTATGTTCAAGTTTTCTGTCTCTTCCTGGTCCAGTTTTGGGAGACTATGTGTTTCTAGAAATTTGTCCATTTTGCTTAGATTGTCAAAAGTGTTGCCATATAATTGTTCATAGTGGTTGTTAATGATCTTTTGTATTTCCGTGGTGTTGGTTGTTACTTCTCCTCTTTCATTTCTGATTTTGTGTATTTGGGTTCTCTCTCTTTGTTTCTTGGTGAGTCTAGCTAAGGGTCCATCAATCATGTTTATCTTTTCGAAAAACCAGCTCTTTGTTTCATTCTTTGAATTGTTTTTTTTTGTTTTTTTTTTTTGACTCTATGTCCTTTGTTTCTGCTCTGATCTTTACTATTTCCTTCCTTCTACTTGCTCTGGGGTTTTCTTTTTGTTTTCTCTCTAGTTCTATAAGTTGTGAGGCTATATAGTCTATTAGAGTTTTTTCTTGTTTTTTGAGGTAGGCCTGTAGTGCTATGAACTTCCCTCTCAGATCTGCTTTTGCTGCATCCCATAGATTTTGTATCTTCATTTTCATTGGTTTCTAGGAAGTTTTTAATTTCTTCCTTGATCTCCTCAGTAACCCATTCATTGTTTAATAACATGCTATTTACCTCCATGTTTTCAAATGTCTTTGAATGTTCTTGTTGCAATTTATTTCTAGTCTCATGCCATTGTGATCTGAGAAGATGCTTGATATGATTTCAGTCTTCTTGAACTTGTAGAGACTTAGTTTGTGTCCTAACATGTGGTCTGTCTTTGAGAATGTCCCATGTGCACTTGAGAAGAATGTGAATTCTGTAGTTTTCGGGTGTAATTCTCTGTAGATATCTATTAAATCCATTTGGTCTAGTGCTTCACTTAGAGTCTCTGTTTCCTTGCTAATTTTTTGTCTAGAGGATCTATCCAGTGATGTCAGTGGGGTTTTGAAGTCCCCTGCTATGATTGTATTGCTGTCAATTTCTCCTTTGAAGTCCTCCTTAATATATTTTGGTGTTCCTATATTGGGTGCATATATGTTTATCAAGGTTATATCTTCCTGTTTGATAGATCCTTTCAATATTATGTAGTGGCCTTCTTTGACTCTAGTTATGGCCTTCATTTTGAAATCTATTTTATCAGATATGAGTATTGCTACCACAGCTTTTTTTCCTTTCCATTTGCATGGAAGATTTTTTT